AATCCATTTGAAAGAGAATGGGACTGGACGTAGGAGGATTACACCACCTCTGAACCAGGATACATCGTGTGTTGATTTCACTTCATTCAACAAAACACACACCCAGCACTTCTCGTATAAAGATTGTAGTTTGCCAGCAGCATCTTAAGCAGTTGTCTTAATTGACCCAACTGCTTATCCTTCTGCTTAATTACTCACTCTCTTTGAGGCTATCTCCATACAGTTCACTTGGTAAAGCATTATCAAAAAGGTTGTTCTATCAGATCTCGAAAATTCACTTTCAAAGTATAGCAGGTGCCTCAGCAGTCTCCTCAGTACCACCCAACTGCCGAGCTCCCTGCTCACATACGTATATTTCCTTTAAACAACTCAACATCACCAGATCCTCATAACATCATCACACGAAGTTTTGCTTAAAAGGATCTCTGAAAATCTGTTTATAACCTAAGCAGGTGACTCAGCAGTTCCCTTTGTATCACCCAACTGCCAAGACCACTGCTACAGTTAAACTTCATCTTAACCTTACTTAAGTACTTTTTCAGACATCTTTCTTGTGTTCTAAACAACGTTTCACCATCACTTTTCATCATAAAATCAATATTTCTCTAGCAGTTGCCTCAGCAGTTCCCTGCTACCTAGTCAACTGCTAAGCTAACTGCCAAGCCAACTGCTAGCTATCTAAGTCCAATCTTCCCAAAATTAGAAAGTGGTCAAACACTCATTACATAAAGGGTAAAGACTTCCGCTGTGCATCTATTAATCTCTCAAAAGATTATAGATCAATTCATCTAGAGGGAAAACTTCATAAAGTTGAAAAAGATTTAAAAGTCTATTCACCCCCCCCCCTCTAGACTTTTACCCTATCCGGGACCATCACATGCATCTCATGGTTAATAATATAAGGGGAATTAATTATATTGATTAAACCAATAAACCGCTTGTGTTGAGGTTATCAATCTCAATCGTTTTCATCTTAAGTTTATTGCTACTATCAAGTTAATATACAGCGCTTGTTCTATATTGACTCGATAGTAAGTTTTATTAATGAACGCTTCTCGTTATTAATAACTACCCTCGATGAACTGGATATACTCCTCGATTGAGTATTCGAGAGGAAGATAGTCAAAGATATAACCGGGATCGACGAACATTTCATTAAGTGGATAAAAGCAAAGCCAAGTCTTCTTCTTCTTATTAATTAAACCACATAACTCGTTCATCTTCGTGTTTAAATATAATTCAAGTTCATTTACTCAATCTAAACCCCCCCCCCCTTGTTACTAGTTTATAAAGAGAGAAGTATTCCTTTCCCTGTGGATACGAACCTTACTACGCTATACTACGTATTAGTGTCGTATTGTATTTATTTTGAGTGCACACCACGACAAAGTGCACGTCAAATTTGGCGCCGTTGCCGGGGAAAGGCAATTATTTTTCTTTTTATTTTATTTCAAGAAAAATCAACAAAAAAATAATTAAATAAAAATATAAAAAAAAATCTTACTCTTCTATTTTCTGAGCTTACATGAGTTATGAGTATATGGATACCAACACATCATCCTTAGAGAGTCAAATTTCCTTCTTGACTTCTCTAATAAAGGAATATATCTTAAGCTCAGAAGCTCAAGATGCAAAAACATGCAACATTTGCATGTCTCACGGACATCTTACGGATTTTTGCCCAAAACTCCAACAAGAATACCTTGAGAATTTTGATTATGTTGGCTTCCAAAGGAAAGTACCTCACATGATGTATGATCCATTCTCCAACATGTCTACGGAGGACATGCTTCGGACTCTTACTACCAACATGACCATCATGCAAAACAATATGGTGCAATTCCAAAATGAGACCAAGTCTAAAATTTTAAACTTGGAAACTCAAGTGAGTCAAATAGCCGGAGCCGTGAGTGGGCTCGAAGCAAGGGATTCAGGAGAACTTTCCTCTCAAATAGAATGTGATCCTAAGCAGCAAACTTTTGCAATCACAGTGACAATTGAGAAGGAAATGCAAAAGGAGATCCCAAATCCAGAAGAAATACAAGAAGAAAGAAACACGGAGTTCCAGCTAGTCAAAGAAGAGAATGAACCGAGTTTCAAGGTCCAATATCTGACCTTATCATCCTTTGAGGTATCTCCATCATCCCTGGACTCTTTAAGAGAAACTCATAAACTTGAAAAGAACAATGGCATTTCTGAAATCTCCTTCAAAATTGAGGGATCGAAAAACTTCTCATTAACCATGCTAAACGATAATTTCTTCCCCTTCCTCCCACCACATGAATCAATAAAAATCTGGATATTTGATCCTAGAAAGATTTCCAAAGTGAAGAGTCGAGAAATTTATCATTCCTATGAAGGTCCTAGGAGTGAAAGTGTGAAGAAGATAAACTATCACGATCCAAGTTTAAATGACTGAACACAATGATGGCGTCGTGCCGCGACGTTAAATAAGGCGCTTCTTGGGAGGCAACCCATGTAAGGTACGTTTACTTTTTATTCTAGTTTAAGTTTACACTTCAAAAAAAAAAAAAAGAGGCCTGGGGATTGAACCCGGCCCGGTATAAAACCCAACCCGGTCGGGCCCCTTCATAAAACACAGCACCCGGCCGAATCACCCGGGCAAGGCAGTTGTGGAATAGAGGAAAAATGAACATACCCGACCGGGTAACTTCAATACACCCGGCCGGGCATGTTCATTAAAAACATTCTGGATAAGCGGGAGTTAGGCCCGACCGGGTCAACTTACCCCACCCGGCCGGGTCGTCGCGAATTCTTTCACCGACTGAGCTGGCCACCCTCTTCCTCACTTCCTCTTCTGCAAACACGAACCAAACTCCGCCAAAACACCATTTTCAAACTCCATACATTTGAATCCTCTCCATTTCTACACCAAATCCATCAAAAAAAAATCATGCTCATCATCTCCTCCTCACCCTCTACATTTCCATACCCACCAAACAACCCACAACCCACCAAAAATCCAAATCACCTTACTCCACAAACAGCAAAAGCCGAAATTTCCTCAACCAAAAAGAAAGAAATGACACCAAAAAAGGGCAAAGAGATTCATTCTCTTGGACATCTCGGACACAAGCACTAGGGACAGTGCTTTGATTAGCATGGGGGGAGAATTTCAGGGAAAACTCACATTCATACTCTATATTCTTGAGTCTTTTTTTTTCAAAAACAAAAAAAACAAAAAAAAACCACAAAAAAAAAGAGAGAATAAAGCTTGTTAAGTTGAAAACCTGAAAAGGCAACTTAAGCAAAAATAAAGCAAAAATAAGAGTGAGTTGTGAGGATTGAAACGGAAAAATGTGGGAAGCTGGGATGAAAACCCGAAAGGGCACCTAGGCAAAATGAGAGAATGAGAGAAAGTATTTTCTTTTATTTCTGCAGGATCCTAAGGGTAACGAAAAAAAGAATTGAGGTTGATAAGAGATATGGAGTTGAAGACCCCTCTTTACTCTTATATTTTTGGAGATATTTTTTGGTTTACTCGAGACGAGTAAAGGTTCAAGTGTGGGGGTGTTTGATATGCACTAATTAGTAGTGCATAAATGTGTCTTTTTATGTTTGATTTGTGTGGATTGTTTACCAATTTATTTAGTTTGTAAACATTTGTGTGATTTTAGTTGTAATTGTATTTTAGTTCTCATTTGTAAGTTGTAAAGTAGAGTTAGGATTTATGGTGTTGGAAAGGAAGACTTTGAATGTGAAGAAAAAATAATTCTTGGCTGCCCAGGACAAATCACCCGGTCGGGTGAGGTATTGCACCCGGTCGGGTGAGACATTGAAATGTGAAACTGCTCAGGAAATTACATCACCCGGTCGGGTGAGGTATTTCACCCAGTCGGGTCCGACTTGACCCGGAACACCAGAACGTGCCGAAGATCACCAGAACGTGGAGGATATTTGATTTTGACATGCACCCGGTCGGGTGGGCACTTTACCCGGTCGGGTACCCGGCCAAAGGTGTTGAAAAACACCTATAAATAGCCCCATTTTCCTTCACTTTTAAACATCCCTTCTTCCATACTCTTAAGCTCAGTTTAGAATAGTATTTCTTTTATATTTTTATAGTATGTTTAGTCTCCAAATGAGGAGCTAAACTCTTCCATCTTGGTTTTGCTCCTTTGAAGCTTAATGAATTTGTAAGTTGTGAGTTATTATCTTTAATCTTCTTCCTTGAATATTAATTCTTCCTTTAAATACTATTTCTATATCAATGTTGGGGAGTGTTACTAAGATGACAATTAGTCAACATCTTGACATTAGTTATAGTAATAGTTATTTCTTCCTCTACGTTAATATCGGGGAGTGTTACTAAGATGACAGTTAGTTAACATCTTGATATTAACTATAGTAGGATTCATCTTCTTTAATATTCTTTCTTGAGTATTAATTAATTCCTATTCATATTTCATATTAATATTTTGAACATTACTTAAAGGATCAACTAGTTTTGTTTCATATATTAATTAATACTAGAATCGGTCGATTAATACGCTTGTTATTAATTCGGTCCTTTCATGGTAGTAAACTTGGATTATTAATGCATGCATCTCATGGTTAATAATATAAGGGGAATTAATTATATTGATTAAACCAATAAACCGCTTGTGTTGAGGTTATCAATCTCAATCGTTTTCATCTTAAGTTTATTGCTACTATCAAGTTAATATACAGCGCTTGTTCTATATTGACTCGATAGTAAGTTTTATTAATGAACGCTTCTCGTTATTAATAACTACCCTCGATGAACTGGATATACTCCTCGATTGAGTATTCGAGAGGAAGATAGTCAAAGATATAACCGGGATCGACGAACATTTCATTAAGTGGATAAAAGCAAAGCCAAGTCTTCTTCTTCTTATTAATTAAACCACATAACTCGTTCATCTTCGTGTTTAAATATAATTCAAGTTCATTTACTCAATCTAAACCCCCCCCCCCCTTGTTACTAGTTTATAAAGAGAGAAGTATTCCTTTCCCTGTGGATACGAACCTTACTACGCTATACTACGTATTAGTGTCGTATTGTATTTATTTTGAGTGCACACCACGACAAAGTGCACGTCAGTAGCACCATTCCCGAAAGTTTTCGATCGAAACAATCTCTGTTAGGACCCAGTAAATATCCTCCTGACCATTTAAAAAGTTCATTTAGATACTCTTTACAATAACAATTGATCCAAAGCTTCACCATTTACCTCAGTTGCTTTTAGCAAATCTTTCATAGTGGTTAGGATTACATTGCCACTTAGCACGTCGTCCCTAGCTTCTCCTTGTGAGCAATGGGTGACACATGTATAAGTTGTGGCATCATTGCCGTCAGCTGGAAATATGTTCATTGTTTGATTACTTTTGAATGTAAGTAATTTTTTTAGAACCTAAGTATTATTATTAAAGTGAACCATAAACTGCATAGTACTCGCTCTGAAATTCCAAGAATTCAGCTGTGTTTCCGTTTAGGATGAGCTTGGACACATCGTAGGAAGAAGCCACAGTCAAATTGCCTGCGTTGTAAACATCATTAAGTTAGGTTACTCCAACTGTTCGTCTTTTAGCAAAAAGATTAGGTTAAACTGTCCGAAACCTTGGAATCTTTTGGGTCGGCATAGTTGGAAAATCATAAAAATGGGCACTCCTTCATTTTCCTTTACGAAATCCAGATACTGGTCTATATACTTGTTCCATAGTACACAACCCATTCGGTTACCCCTGTCATTTAGAGTTACTATTCATTAGTTTAGGATTTAAATCTTTACGCTAATTGATATTAGATTAATAAAAACTTACTCTGGGTCTCCAACGGTGACTTCCATAACCCTTTCAGTTTTCCCGTGGATGATATGGGTTTGTACCAAGCTCTTGGTGATAACCATCCCAATGATATCTAGCAAGAAGAGTCGTAGAAATATTTCGTTGTTTAGCAGAAAATCATAGAAATACCCCGCTGTTTTGCAGTTAAGTATTTTGTTTAGTTATGATTACAACATCATGTTACTCACCTATGAGATATTTGTCATTGATAACCCTTTGGACGTGCAGCATATCAAATGGCTGGAAATCATAGATCATCATAGGTAGTTCTGTTCTATTTTCTTCCCTGAACTGGGTTTTAGAAATGAACTGAATCAGGTAGGGGTGATTTGTGGTCTTCACCGTTTGGTAGTTGTCTAGAACTAAGAAGTTCCTTATGGCATAGATGTTGTGCTCAGTAATAATAGGCTTGTACAAAGCAATCTGGGGGCGCTTGATAATTGCGTGAATCCGATCGCCCTAATTTACATATTAAAAGTGTTAATTGAGTACTTTATCATTTACCATCTTAAATAATGTTTAATGCAAATTGTAAGTATTGTACCTCTGCGTCATGCAATACCATCTCAAGAGTCTCCCCACCCTTTGAATGGGGAGGCACCTCATAAGCCCTGACAATCCGAACCTTCAATGCCCAAGTAGTTTTAGTGTGATCAATGTCCTTGATCATTGACCACATCCCTGTTGATGATGAACCGGCCATTGCTTGCTGTTTTTATGAAATCTGGATTTGCTAGTTTGTGCTGTGTGGAAACAACCCCAACTTCGGTTTTTATAGTGGCAGATGGGTATGTAATTTGGCTCAATTGGGTATTAACCAATATATAAACATCCTCAATCCTCACACTAAAGATTTTGTAGTACAAAAAATTTATTGTGATATGGCATAGTTGGTACAACACATTAAATGCATGTGTGGCTCAAGACATGATTTCGGATTTTTTTTACTAACTCAGATCTGAAGTACAATTCTCAGTACAACATTTTAAATGTTTTTGGGGCTCTAGGTTGAAAGTACAATGAATATAATATTTTAATCAATAAAGTTGCCCCTTATCCCAGTATGTTCTTGAGCCACACAACTAAGACATCGGATACAGAGCCAGGATTAAAGATTGGTAATGGGCTGCCTACAAACCCATTTTTGCACCCATGTAAATATGACCCGGCCCATTACTGTACAGTGTTTGGGCGGGAACACTGTACAGATTTCCTTTTGCTTTTGTATAATAAAAGATACCTGGAGCCCTTTTGATTACCAGGTATACCTTTTCCTTCATTCATAATTTACGAATTTAATATAAAATCATACTTAGTACCGAGCATAATTTCACTTTTCTTAAAAGGGCTCCAACATATTCTCTCGACTCTTGGCCACAAGTCCAGGTTTTGGTAATTTCATACCCGTTGTAATTGTTTCCTAATTTCTTATTTTGCAACTTTAGAACCCCTAGAGCATTAGAATGGCTTATTTCTATTGGGAAATTTATTACAATATGACTAAAATTCAATGAGTTTCTCAAACTATGATCTAACTAGTTTTTATACCTTTGTATGACCAAAAGTCCAAAAAAAAAAATCGTTTATATTTAATTGTTGAATGACAAAAATACCCTTATTTAAAATATGTGCATTTTGAACTAATTTCTTCCAGTTAAAATTACTGCACTTTATATTGTCGTTAATGCACAAAATTAATGCACAACTTTACTGCACATCCGATAATAATCACTGCACTTCTCCTAAAATTAAATCTCTTCTCATCCAGTAATAATCACTGCACTTCCCCTGAAATTATTATTTATAGGTTTATTTTTTATTTTTTTAGTTTTAATAATTTTATTATTTTATGTCTAATTAAGTATATTGTGTCTCATGTCGAAATTACTGCTATGTGTTAATGCACTCCCGGTCATAGTCACTGCACAACAAACTTCATTAATGCATTCATTCACTGCCATGTACAACATATATGTATTATCATATTCATTGTCGTATCCAACAATGTCTATTGTGATGTTCACTACACATATTCACTGTCTCAATTTAATGCTCACAAACTCTAATTTCAAAAATAGAAAAGATAAAATGAAAATGGAGGGCCACATAGCTAGTAGCAAAAGAAAAAACAAATCCTTGTTCGTGTCCAACTAATGTCCACAAATTAAACCTATCTCCACCTTTCACGTAAGAGGCCCATATCGTTGCTACAACCTTTTTCACATAACCTGCGCCGCACTCGCCCCCTCCCTCCTTACTAGGTTTTGTTAACAAATAACACTCCAACAGAATCACATGGATAGAGGTGGGATGAGCGGCAAATCGCGTGGATCATGATGGCGGTGGTGCGCATGGATCGGGATGGCGGCGACTCACATGTCTAGGGACGAGGTGTGGGCTGGTGGCGTCGATCGATCTGGGCGGTGGCTGTGGCAAGAAGATGTGGGGCCAGGGTGATCGGGCAATCAAGCTACTGCTTGCGGCAATCGTGCTCCTGGACGGCGGCGGACGGCAGGGCATGGGATGGCAGCAGACGGCGGACCATGGGGCGACGGCGGCGGACGTACGGCTGCGGGCCAATCTATGAAGGTGGGAGTATGAAGGCGAGAGTTTGGAGAAAAGAGTAGGAGCTTAAGGATTTATAGATTTGATGTAAAGGGTATATTTGTCTACCTAAATTATGTAATGATTTATTTATTACGAATTTAATAAAATATTATGATTTTTAATATTATTTTGATAAAAAAACTATATAGGTCATAAAATGAGAAATTGAACAAGTTTTAGTTATACGGATAATTATTTCTATTAATATCTCTTCTAATTACGCGATTTATAAAGCCCGTTTCTCCTTGCTGATACCGTCTTCTCTTTCCTGGTCAAATTCACACCGCTCGCAGAGAGGTAAAATTGCTGTTATTTATTTATTTATTTATTTAATTTATATATATATTTATTTATTTATTTATTTATTTGTTTATTTATTTTTGCTTAACCGTCGCGCATATCTCTCTCTCTTTCGTTCCTCTTAAACTCCATAAAGAAATTCAAGCGAAAAGAAACAATGAAGAATGCGGAGGCCTACAACTTAAGATCAAGAACAATATACTCATCTAAAAGCAGGTAAAATTTTATTGCTAAATAGTTGGTGCCAAAAGTGTTTTTGACGCGAATTAAGCGTCCACATTTTTTCCCCAATCCCTACAAAAGTTCCTGACAATTCCTTTTGTTTTGTAATTTTGATGCACTAAAATTTGACTAACATCTGCCTATTTATGCAATTAGACCTTTCCAAACAAAAAAGCGATCTGGTCGGAGGAGGAAAGACTCAGGGTAACACTGGTTTTGTTATTTATTTACTTAATTGATTATTTGTAAGTTTTGTAACTTTGTATAGGTGTATGTGGATAATTATATATGCCTGGAAAAATGTGTGAAATTGGCTGATTTTTGTTTGTTTATCAAAAGGTATGAACTCCTGTGCATGCCTAAGAGGCAACCTGTCAAGTACCCTGGTGGTCTTGGTCCGCCGCCTATTGAGCTGACTCCAGAGCAACTAGAAGCCAAGAAGGCGATGAACCGGAGGATTGCTGAGCTTGGACTTGAATACTACAATACCAACAATGCTCTCCATGGTGGGGTTAGTGGCAATTATATTATTCAATAGGATAATTGTTGAAGTTAATTTTTTTTTGAAGAAGTGGTTAGCACATTATATAAAAATGAATGTGAAGTGTGATGATAGTAGGAGCTCCTGTGTTTGCCCAGGATGGTGCTGCTACCTTTGAGCTGGTGGAAACTAGGGAATACACCACATTCACACTACGCATGACATCAATTCTGATGGCCCATGCCAACTTCACTGCCAAGCCCGTGCACTCAAATGGACCCATCATGCTCTTCTTTACTGAACTCTCATGTACAGATAAACCAAAGAAACCTTTTGTAGCGACTAACACTACTGTTCACCGCTGCCACTTGCTTGGCCGTGATTGTGAAGGTATGTATGGTTGCTATATAACCCAAATTCAATCTGTTGTCCCTTATGAATGAATTTCTTCATCTATTGTCCTTGTAGGTTGCATTATTTAACTAAAGAAATGTGTCTTCTTCCTTTTTCTTGTGATATTTTGCAGTTAATACAGGTTCTAATGGTTGTCTTGCCTGTGACCGGCCAAGTCTTCATCACCCTCTTGATAAAGACTTTGATGTTGGTTATCGGATTCATTACCTCTAATAAGCCCATTGTTAATTAGTGTAAGCCCATCGGTAGGCCCTTTTCGCCTTAACTATGCCACTGCTCAGTTATCATCATGTACTCGAATCATTTTAAAACCGTTCAGTATGTACTTGTGACCTATTTGGGGTGTATTGAAGCCTCTATCTATTGTGCTAAAAGCAAATATGCAATAAGTGCAGCATGTTCCTGCCACTCCCTATTTGTTATTCTTTTTTTAACTGTTGTATTTATACTTCTTATCTTTTTATTGCTACTTGGTTATACACTTCCATTCTTCCAATGAATGAAATGGTATCCTCTTTAATTCTAATTGTAGTTAACAAAAAATAAACAAATTATACACCCCATATTGCAATGCTAAAAGTCAAATATGATAACAAATCTGTAATGGAGAATTGCAGAGAATATGAAGAAGCACATAACGTCATAATAAAGATGAATCTCTTCGGTGCAAGTCTTCTTCAAAGAATCAGAGAATCGAATTGTTATTACTTAGTTTAGATACTTATTTCTTATTAACAGTTCAGTTCTGGTTTCCTGAAAAAATATGTACCCTAAACCGTTAAGGAAATCATTATATTTAATAATTAAAATTTATATATTGCTTATTAGTATATACTTCGTATAGTGTATTACTCCCTCCGTCCCAGAAAATTCTTCCCACTTTGACGTGGCACGGAGATTAAGAAAGTGGAATAAAGTGGAAATGTGTGGTATGATTGTGGTTGTGTAAGAAAAAGGTGAAATGAATGTGAACCACACAAATTGTCCATAAAAGAAAAGTGGGAAGAATTTTTTGGGACGGCCCAAAAAGGAAAGTGAGAAGAATTTGATGGGACGGAGGGAGTATTACTTATAATTGATTTTTAGTTATACCAACTATTTTAGTTTGGTCATTTATGTATTTAACATTATTATATATTTTAATGGGTTCCTCTAAGACATTTAGACCTCGTATTAGATGCCTAGATGGCTAGATGGGCGGAAATGAATGCTTAGCCCGTGACCCTTTGGGATGAATGGTCTTTTTTGCTGACTTATTACGTTGATGATTCAAGATCATAATTATTGATTGCGGTGAATATGTTGTTTTGTTTCATTTATTAAAATTTTTAGTTTGGTATTTATTTATGTTTTAAACTCAACTTTTGAAGTTTGAAATGATGTTTTAAAAAATATATTTGTACTTCTTTTAATTTTAAACGTTGATTTTTTTTGGGCACAAATTTAATGATGATTTGTATGACTTTTTTTAAAACTAGGAACCGTTAAAAGATAAAAACCGAACCGTTAAGAATGGTTTGATTCCATATCAGTCATATAAAACATTTATAAGAATCAAACCGTTATTAAAATTTGATATTTTTCAAACGGTTCAATCTATTTTGTCTAAAAACCGAACCGATCCTATTTTGTCTAAGAATCAAACCGTTATTAAAATTTGATAATTTTCAAATGGTTCCATCTATTTTGTCTAGAAACCGAACCGTTTCGAGGTCTAATCATGTCTGCATGTAGTGGTGTGCACCAAGAATAGGCTTTGAGTACATCATTTCTTACTTGTCACTATAATCATATATGGACAGAGCCCAGGGGCGGAGTCCAGGGGGGTCAGGGTGGTCAGCCGACCCCTGAAAGTTTGAGGGTACAAAGATTTGAAATACCTTCAATTTGATATTCAATATATTATGAGTCTCGTAAGTCATTATGTGTAAAAAGTTATGACATCTAGAAAATTAGCACTTTCCAAACTTAAAAATGAGTAAAATTTGATCTGTAATATTGATTATATTCCTAAAATTTTAAAACATTGTAAAATTCAGTTAATATATACGTGACACGACTCAAGGATAGAACTTGTGATATTTTGAATGTGTATTTTTTCTTACAAACATTGCATATTACAGCTGGGGAAATGTGTCGAATATTGTACAATGTTGAAAAATTGGATTGGTTTTTTGAACATGTGTAAGTTTTTGCAAACATTACATGTACAATTATCCAGTTATGTATGTTGATTTTTTGTCTGTCTGGGTATCGTGTTGTATGTATGTGTGAACTTATTGTCTCTCTATGTAAAAATAATGCATGTCTAGTTAATCTAGGTGTGTCTAGATATATGTATTGTCTTTCTTTTTTACGAAACATATGCCAAATATGGTAATTCACAACAAACTAATGTCTGTATGTGTATACTTATTGTTTGTATGTGTAAACTTATTGTCTCTCTGTGTAAAAATAATGTATGTCTGGTTATTCTATTATCTGTCTAGATATATGTATTGTCTGTTTTTTTACGAAACATATGCCAAAAATGGTAACTCACAATAAACTAATGTCTGTATGTGTATATTTATTGCCTGTATGTGTAAACTTATTGTCTCTCTGTGTAAAAATAATGTCTGTCTGGTTATTCTATTATCTATCTAGATATATGCACTGTCTGTCTTTTTTACGAAACATATGCCAAAAATGGTAATTCATAATAAACTAATGTTTGTATTTGTATACTTATTCCCGATATGTGTAAACTTATTCTCTCTGTGTAAAAATAATGTTTGTCTGGTTATTCTATTGTTTGTCTAGATATATATATATATATACAGAAATGCTCAGGTCCCTCCCTCCCCCGTCCAGCTGCCGTCCGAACTCCGCCATTTGGGGCGGTTTCCGGTGGAATTTTTTGATGAAATTTTTTTAGCATGTTCCACATCAAGTCTAGTGTGTCCATACCAAATTTCAGCTCAAAATTCGACCGGGAAGGCAGTCAAATAAATTCTTGAAACTTACTGCACTTTATATATGCGCAGAATGTGCAGTAAGATTCAAGAATTTATTTGACTGCCTTCCCGGTCGAACTTTGAGCTGAAATTTGATATGGACAAACTAGACTTAATGAGGAACATGCTCAAAAAATTTCATCAAAAAATTCCACCGGGAACCGCCCCAAATGGCGGAGTTCGGACGGCTGCTCCCGTCCCTCCGGCTGGACATGAGCAGTCCTCTATATATATATATATTGTCTGTCTTTTTTACTATATGACGTGCACTTTGTCGTGGTGTGCACTCAAAATAAATATTCAATACAACACTAATACGTAGTATAGCGTAGTAAGGTTCGTATCATGTACAGTGAGTAGAAAGTCAAGATTAAGGAAATGTCATGCTTCTACTTCTCTATTCGCATGATAGCCAAATTTAGTACAAATATGGTGTATGTACCCTCCTATGAAAATTTCACCCATAGCTTCACATTGTGTTTTTAGATGTTCCCATACATATAGCAACATCTAATCTAGGAGCTTCCGGAAAGATACCCATAGCAAGAACGGCCAATTCACTAATCCTTGTCTGATGATTATTTGGCTTACCAAAGATATTATACCCAAACCATTTTAGTGCAATTCGAAGGGCAGGGTGTTGAACATGTGTAACATGCATATGTGAGGATTTAAAGACCCTAACCCCTGTCATTCTTCGCCACAATTCATGCACAATTGTTTTATCACTTCTTGCCTTTCTTTCCTCCACACCTAAAACTGGTAAACCAAATAGCTCGGCAAACTCACGTTTCGTTAAAGTTCTTGGTATGTTGTTATACCGAAACGTGAGTTTGCTCTCATAGGTGTCCTCATCGTTATCAGTAAATTCAACAGAGGCTAGGAACTCATACACAATTCTTTTGTAGATATTATAGGACATATTGAACAGTGTAGTAAGTCCTATGTTGTTGCACAATTCTAGCATCATATCATACAACATCAATGCTCTCAATGCTTCATGACAAAGAAATCGGGTGGGATATACCTCTCGGTTGAGTTGGTTGAGGAATTTCTAGTGATGAGCCCTAGAGGTGAATTCGATGCTCTCATACCCCGAAACTTGTAGAATTGGAGAATTTGAGTTGGAGGAAGATGCTCTAGCCCTTTTTGGTGCCATGGTTAACTTTTTTCTTGGATTTGGGGTTGGAATTTCGGACTTGGGCCTTGGGGGAGTGAAAAATTCGGACTTTTTGGGGTTGGGGTGTTTGTGAGGGTGTGGAGGTGTAGAAGATGATGGGGAGAACAAGAAATGGGATTTTTCTTGGGTTATTTCGAGCTAAAAATCGGGTGGAGGGGTAGGGTTTTCGGATTTTTGGGTAGAGGGGATTTGGTGGTTTTGTTGGGTGTAGAAATGGAGAGGATGATGTGGTGAAGAAGATTATGGTGTTAATTTGGGTTTGTAATGGAAGAAAAGGGGTGGGTTCGAAGCTTGTTTGCTCAACAATGGAGGTTTTTTGTTTGAGCTCTCAAATTTGGGGAAGAAGATGGGAGGTTTTGGGGTTGATTTGGGCTTAAAATGCCCGTATACCCGGCCGGGTATAGGGAATACCCGGTCGGGTTTTATGTTTTTTTTTCAATTTTCCAACTTCTTTACCCGGCTGGGTTTGTTGCCCGGGTATTCCTTTTTTTGTGCAAGGAACCCGACCGGGTGGCTATGATACCCGGCCGGGTTTCAGCCAGTTTCCATTTTGTTTTTTGAAAAAGAAATTTTCCCACACTTTAAATAAAATAACAATAAACAGAATGCAAAAATTGGGTTGCCTCCCAAGAAGCACTTGATTTAATGTCGCGGCACGACGTAATTTTTATTTTATTTTCTGTTTTTAAGTGGGATCGTGGGCATCCCTTGTTCTATTTTCAAAGGCTATGTTAGGCCACATTTCAGCTTTCTTCCTCGGCCTTTTCCAGTAAGGCCGAATTTTCTTCCTTGTTACCACCTCAACATTAGGTGGTTTTCCTTTCAAAATAGATTTTTTTGGTTCAATTTTTATTTCATTAAAAATTGAGAATTTTTTTGTTTCCTCTCCAACAAAAATATTTGGTGTTGGTGGTGGTTCAAAAACATTTAAAGAACAAAGAGATTGATTTTTAATTTGTTTTTCGGTAGAATCAAAGATGTTGAATTCTACTTTTTGATCATCAAATTCTATTGTTAATGAACCACTAAACACATCAATTTTTGTTTTAGCGGTTTTCAAGAAGGTTCTTCCCAAAAGAATGAGTGTTGTTTGGTTATCATCTCCCATTTCCAGAACATAAAAATCAACAGGGAAAATCAAATTTTCTACTTCTACTAGCACATCTTCTACTACACCCTTCGGGTAAGTATTACACCGATCCGCTAGTTGAATCACTACACCAGTTTGATGTAGTGGGCCGAGTTGTAAGGATTTATACAAGGAATAAGGAATGACATTTATTGATGCTCCTAAATCCAACAAGGCCTT